CAGATATTACTGGTGAAAACATCAGAAAGTTCTATCACCTCTCTTGTTTAATTTTATGGCATGGATTCTTGGGTTTTCAGACAACCCACAAAAGAGGCTGACTACAATGATGAGCAAACTGCATCAAAGATTTTTTCTGTGTGTCATGATTTGGACTACATTTCTAATAGGAGGAAAGTAAAGACACTTAAGTCCCTGCCAATGATAATCGACAGATTTCTGGTAACACATCAACACTATTCCAGTAATATCTGATGCATGTGGTGGCCAGTTCTTGTACCAAGCTGATGCACAATCATGTAAGCTGTTTCTCAATGTTAGGCCAACTGTACACATTTCTTTCAATATTACACTTGTGTATGTGGATGCTTTCATTCCAATGTCAAGATCGGATTCAGACTCTTGCATGTGAACTCTGAGACGTTTCTATGTCATCATCCATATAACCTTCTGCTACACTTGCTTGACTAAGGCACTCTGCATAAACAATTTCACTCTTGTTTCGTACCTTTGGTCTATGGAAAAGAAGTTGTGGAAACCTTTTACATGGCTGTGTACTTTTCATAACAATGTTTGTCGTAAGTTCTTTGTATGTTTGCATGGTGATAAAATATAATAGGTTTTGTTTGTGGAAACACCACGTAAATTTATGGTTTTTAACAGATTATTCTTAGTCTTGTTCTGTTTTAAAAGATGTCTAGTTGCCTGTAATTTCATATTTCTATAGTGACAATCGAAGTGTCAACCGATGTCCGGAAACGCTTATTAGCATAATTAGCGTATAACACTAACTTCAGTGTTGTATAATGCGTACAACGCCGTATACTGCGAGTCCCTTTCGTTCCATATTTTTGGAGGCCTGTGCAACTTTCTTGCTTCGGCGGGTCGCGCTAGTACTCGCTAACGCGTCAGCATTAGGGAGGTCTATAAGCCCACGAGAAATCACCTAGTCCAGGTCTTCCTTTACCACGTACGAATACGCGGAATTGTAATTTTTGAAAAATAAATAAATAAATAAATTTACGTGGTGTTTCCACAAACAAAACCTATTAATGTTTGTCGTACTAGCTTTCTTGTTGCTGCTTCTTTCAGTTTAACAGCTTTTGCTTTTTCGACTTCTAAATAATAACGAACCCATGCATGAAAATCACACAACTGTTATAAAGGGAGCGGCTGCGGCCAGTGTAATAAACTTATCAACTAAGTGACATACGCATGGCAACACATGGGAATTCTGTGATTTAGTTGCCACACTTATACACACACAAGTCTCCCCCCATCTTGTAGCAAGTCTGCCAACAGCTGTCAACAAGTTGTCTTCGCACTGCTTGTCCGTAGTTGTCAACAAGTTTGGAACAAGCTGTTAACAACTTGTAACAACCTTGTTAATATTATTAGGCTTGTTGCAAGGTTGTTCCAACAAGTCCGATACTGTCACGATAGAACAATATAGTTACACCCTGTTGTCGTCAACCTTGTAACATTCTTGTTATATCATGACTGTATCAGACTTGTTAGAACAACCTGGTAACAAAACTGGTAATGCCATTAAGCTTCTTACAAGTTGTTAACAGCTTGTTCCAAACTTGTTACAACAACTGGGAGCAAGCAGCGTGAAGACAACCTGTCGATAGCGTGTGAAGAGATTTGTAACAACTTGTTTGCAGACTTGTAACAACTTGTGCGTTTTTACGTGTGTAGGCGATCTCAGCATTTTCTTTACGGGTGGAGTTTCATCTGACTCCGTTTCTTCATCATTATTAATATCGATATCAGAGGATGAAGGTACACCTTCTTTGCCCATACTCTGACAACTCGTTTGTTCATACAGCTATTTCCCAGCTTTCTGCTGTAGGGGTTAGCGTGGTGAAATAAAGTTTTACCTACCTACCATTTGTGAATGCCGAGTAACAACCTCGATAATAATAGAAATTTGCATATTCGATACTTTCAACTGTGCGTGCTACTTTCATGCTGTCGCTAACAAATTGCAAACTTCTTTGAGCAACATTGCGTTCTTCCCTGTTTAGCGTTAGCCAAATTCTACGACAATCTAAAAACTCTTGATACGAAACCGCACTAAAACTTGTTAGTGGGCCTTTTTTCCCATCAAAATGAATTAAACATGAGTCAGAAGACGCCATGTTTACAAATTTTATGCTGGAAACTTCATGTAAGAACGATTGTGAGCCTGCGAAAATTGCCATTTATAGTGTTTTTTACACCAATTACCCTGAACAAAAATGGCGGCGATTAATTGCAAAAGATGTTGATTTCTTGAGTTTTCGAAGAAGAAATACTCGAAAACTGCAGGTTTTGAGAAGTGCCAACAAGCGGATTTGGATTTTGTATGATTTATCCTAATTATTTATCTTGTTTCAAAGTAGTGCCCGAACCATGGCAACGGAATTCATTTTCTAAGCGACTTTTCGTGCCACTGAATACGGCCTAAATCCTATTGGAGGTAGCGTTCCAGGTATTTTTAGTTCACTGCAAAAATGTCAACTTGAAAATAATCAACTTCAGTTGAAAATGTAAATTTTCTGAGCTCTTATTTTACAATGAGCTCTTATTTATGTTTTCATAACAAGGAAAAAGAAGAAGTAAAGGTTATTAACAGTTTTTACAGGTATGAATTTAAAATTACAGTCCGGAAATTTGAACTTGATAGATATACACAAGTTGAAGGCCTACTTTACAAGACCACATCCAGAGTTGTAGGCCTACTTTACAAAGATCACATGCAGAGGCGCCGCATGACTGTGCTCGCTTGAATACATAAAATACAATGTTTCTTATCATCGATTGCTCTCCGTGTAAAATTGACTATAAAATGATATTAATAGGAAATTACACTTGTTCTCGAAGTATTCATGTAAAATCACACTTGTGTTTGGCGAAATATTTCGCCAAACACGCGTGCGATTTTTGATTAATACTTCTTGAACCGTGCATGTAATTTCCTATACTAATGTCTTTTGCGACGCTAGCCCTATTTAATTCGGAGGGAGAAGGAGAGGGGAGGCTCTAATACTGTTTCCTCTTTCCCGAAGTTTCCAATGCACGTACTGATTCTCGTTATTTTTTCCCTTATTTTTCTCTCAATTCGCCAATTTTACTAAAATTATATCTCTACAAGAATTGAATTACACCTGTCAACGTTTAACAGCATCGACAATTAAAATCTTTTCGCACTGACGCACTAAATGGCTTAACAGTTCAGTATCGAACAAAATGTGCCTAATATTTAAATTTACAAATTAATCGTTTGCATTACTTTGAAAAGGTCTATCTAAGTCAGTAGGTATTCCATATTTAAGTACATTCGCAAAATATTTTAAGGTGCACTCAGTAGTTGAACAATTGTACTGTAGGCTGTTGCCTAATAACAAAGTTTATAGCCTAATATTTAAATTAAATTTTATCAGTGTATTTCTTCGAGAAGAAAATTCTTCCCAGAAAATTGAAAAGTTCATCTGTTGTTCAATTGTGTGTTGAGTGTACTGTTTTCTCAAAAGAAACCTAATACAGGATGGGCTTCAAAATTATCATCCTGAATTTTCCGTTCCTACGGTGGATAATTCAAAGAAAAATTTAAACTGACAGAAATTTGAGACGAAATTTGTGCATTTGATACTTAGCAAAAAAAAAAACTTACCAAAATCTTTACTCCTTAAATTCTAAATTTCTTCAACGTTGGCAATGAACACTCAGCAGAATTGACAACAGTAAAATTGTCATTAACTTTAGTAAGTACCCGTATATTGACGCACTGGTAGTTAATTATTAATGCATACTCATTGGCATACTATTTGAATAGTATACTAACTTTAAGTTTTCAAAACACTAAAGTGTTTTTCAGTATATATTATTTTAAATTCTCGAAAAACGGTAAACATTTTGAAAAGTGTTTATTCCACGTTTCAACTAGATTTTAGTCATCTTCAGGAATGATGAAATTATTACATATCGTATATATATATATATATATATATATATATATATATATATATATATATATATATATATATATATATATATATATATATATATATATATATATATATATATATATATATATATATATATACAATAGGTTTTGTGTGTGTTGGTGTTATGTACTAAGCTGAATATACCCCGCTTGACCCACTAACTGAGCTACGAGGTCAATTCAGTTCGAATTTGAGGTACTGTATTTCGAAACTGAGTCTAGTTCCTTCCGTATCAATGTATTCTAAGACATGATACTTTTTGTGTCTGTGTTGGTGTTATGTATAAGGTATATATATATATATATATATATATATATATATATATATATATATATATATATATATATATATATATATATATATATATATATATATATATGATAGTTTTGGAGTTGAAGCTGGTCTAAAATTCTTTTTAAAATACTAGAATATGTACAATAAAAAGTCTAAAAAAGTTCTAAATTTTCGGTTGCTAACTGCAACCTTCATCAGAGTACTAAGAGCAGTTCGGATAGTTCAAGGTTTTTAAATATCGTCATTATTGCCACATGATTGCACAAGCGATAAATACATGCGTGGGAATTCTTTGTGTTCGTTAATTGTTTTATTGTCTAATATTGAATGCATCGACTCGAGGAACGTTCGTTTTTCTAAATTATGTACTCTTTTCTCTAAGATTGTTGTAGCATTGTTAATAGAGGCATTGTGTCCTGTGCTTTCTGCGTGGTCTTTGATTGCTGACTTAATCTCTCGTCTTACGCCTGGTTTGTGTTCTGCCCAACGTGATTTCCACGACCTCTTACTTTCTCCAACATACTTAAATGAGCAATCTGGACATTCGAATTTATAAACAATGCCTTTAATCTCCGTGATCTTCTGCTTGTCTTTTGGTTTACCAAAAATGTCCCCTAAGCATGGCATGGGTTTATATATTGTCTTAATACCAGCACTTTTAAGCAGCTGTTTTATCTGTTCTGACATGCCTTTCATGTATGGAATACAAGATAACCTTTAATTTCCGGTTCGTCATTAGTGTTGGAAAACGACCTGCTGGAACTTGTCTGGAAGATGAATTTCTCTGGATATCCGTTGAGCTTTAATTCTTGGACAACACACTCCTTTTCTTGCTGTTTTTTATTGTCAGTAGAAGGAATGCTGTCTGCTCGATCAAGTAAGGTCTTAACTACGGCTCGCTTACTTTGGGTGGGATTATGAGAGTGAAAGGATAGATATTTATTGGTATGTGTATCCTTACGGTATACACTTACTTCAATGGTACGGTTTTTAAGAATGGTAATGTGGGTATCAAGGAAAGAAATTGCTTCACCGTGGTTTGATTCTGATGGCAATTCCATTGTAAACTGAATGTTTTTGTTGATAGTGTTCAGGTGGGTGTGGAATTGTTCAATGTCACTTTTGCGTAGACATGAATTGGAGTCGTCAACATACCTTCGCCACCAGCGTACTGGGACAGGTGACGTGTTGATGGCAATTGACTCTATCTCTTGCATTACTATCTCAGCTATGACTGCACTAACAGGTGATCCCATGGCGCATCCTGACTTCTAATGATAGTGTGTCTCATTGAATTTAAAGTAACAATTGCTAAGTAGGAATTTTAATAGTTTCACAACTTGTTCTTCTTTCAGTGCTGTATGTGACTTCCATGAATCAGTTTCTTTAAGTTTCTTCTGTACAATATGCAAGGCAAACGGAACAGGTATAGATGTAAATAAGGACACAACATCAAAAGAGACGATAGTTTCATCCGTCCCTAACGTTTGACTTTTGGCAAAATCAGCGAATTCTTTCCCATTATCTATTGAAAACTCGTTTTTTGCGAAAAAGGTCTTTAACAATTTTGCAAGGTATTTTGATAGGGGATCTGAATGGGGAATGTTGCTGTTAATTGGACGTAAAGGAATGACGTCCACAGAACTTTCGCTCAGGGTATAGTGGTCTTGGTTGCAGATGAGAGACACTTTATGGACTTTTGGCAAACCATAAAATGTAGCAGGGGTCGCCCCAACAGCATATATATATATATATATATATGTATATATATATATATATATATATATATATATATATATATATATATATATATATATATATATATATATATATATATATATATATATATATAGGAGGAAAGATATGTAACTTGTGCCTATCCGAGAAAATCTGCATTTTGAATGCAGATAAACAATCACTACTGAATAAAAGATCAGAATTAATAGCTAAGTGTTGTCACGAAAGGAAATTTTACGCTCATAACTACAATCCACCGCAAAAGCACTTTAGTCTGATGATCGCCTTTGTGCGTGAAACTCGAGTAACTTTTATCGTAAATAGGTTTAGGTTTTATTAAATTATCTTCAGATATCATGTCTTAGTCTACACTAATAATATATATATATATATATATATATATATATATATATATATATATATATATATATATATATATATATATATATATATATAA